TTACAGTAAAAGAGCAGTATGCACTGTTTATGTAACTATCCAGGTGGAATGGCTCTCTCTCCACTGCAACTGAGGGCACGTGTCCCTCCCCAGCCTGCTTCTCCTGCTTATACCTAATCACGGGTCATGGCTACTGGCCCAAAGACCAGCATCCTAGGGCTCCTAAGATACTGTCATTTCTCTAGTGACATATTAGAGATATATTAGATACATAGCAAGTATACAGCAAGTATAACAGATCTTCCTTGACTTGCATTGGGGTCACTGCCCAACAAACGCGTCATAAATTGAAAATACTCTAAGTCAGAACTGCATTCAGTATACCTCACCCACTGAACAGTATAGCTTAGCCTAGCCTATCTTAAGTATGCTCAGAACACTCACGTTACCCTATACTTGGGCAAAACTCATCTAAAACAAAGTCTATTTTATAATAAAGTGCTGAATATCTCAAGTACTTGATTTTAATACTGTACCGAAGTGACAACAGAAAGGCTGTGTGAGCAGAGAATGGTTGTTTACCCTTGTGAAGGCATGGCTGACTGGGAGTGACAACTCACTGCCCAGTTACAAACGAGTGCGGTACCCAGGAGAGGAAGTCCAGTTCCTACTGAATGGGTATCTCACTTATATCATCTTAAAACTGAATGACCTTAAGTCAGGGACTGTCTGTAGTTGGGATTTTAGCAGTGCTCCAGAGTTTTATAGCTAATCTTAGTTTTCCTGGGAAAATCAGTAAAGTCATAAATGGGAGGAGGGAAATGATAAGTAAACAATCTTCATAGAGCTCCTTGACCTTCTGCTGAACTACTCAGGTCAGGAGTTGTTTATAGACAAGTCATTTTAAACACAAAGGAAAACAGTGATTGGGTGCTCTTGTCTAACATAAACCCATCCTGGCATCCTAGGCAACCTGCTTCTAAAACATATCGTGAGGACTATGCCCTAAACTATGCCTATCAGGATTAATTTGAAATAAAACAAATGCATTACCTTAAAAGCTCATTACTGAACCAACTAGATTTTAAAATACTGACGCCATCCTCCCATTCTCAGGAGTGGAGACTGACATCCCTTCGAATGTCATCACGCAAAAATGGCAGAAAAGGAATATGTTTGAATGAGGACAAATCAAAGTTGAATCTGAGTTTAGTCACTCCTTAGCTGGTTAAAGTTGGCCAAATCAATTTCTCCTTCAGTAAAATAGGTATAAAACACCACCTGCCTCAAAAAATTGTATGGAGGATGAACATAAGTAATGTGAAATACTCAACACCTAAAATAGTGCCAAAAAATATTTACATTCCCTTGAAACAACACTTTCTGGACGCCAAACACTTTTGTTAGGTACTTTTTCATAATGTCTTAAATATTCAGAAATCCTTTAAGTATTTCCCCCATTTCTCTATTTTAAAGAGGTTAAATAACTAAACAGGTCACAGGAACAATGAGCACTCATTTAAACCCACATCTTTCTGACCCCAAACACAAGGTAGTCTCTGTCTACTGTGTGCCTTACATGGCTACTTTTGAAAACACATGCTTCTCTCAGTGGTTTCAACTGAAAAAGTTAGAATTGAGCAATTCTATAAACATAATAAATTCCAAAGTGAGAACTGATTTTTAGATTTCAATCAACTCTATCATCATAGTTAAGGTTTACTATCTAAACGACCACAATGATTTCAATAGTTGTCCTTATATTGAAACTTTATTTCAAGCCATCAAAGGGTAAACCATACTATGACTTATAATACAATACTCAACTTTTAACTAACCTAACAACCAAGGCTACTGTTGAAACCATTCCAAGAGGTCCTGATGGCACTTGATTCATTCAGGGATTGAGTGCTTGCTATATAAATAGCACTACTTACAGTAAATCCTTGTTAAAGTTCAAGACAAGCCTACCATGTAATAAATTTCACATTTCATCTGTACTCAAGATTAAAGGCCTAAGGAGTATACAATCTACAATTCTTAATTCATCTAAAAATAACTTCATTAGTATTGTATAAATTGTACCTCCTCACAAACTAGTCAGTTGACCAAATTTGTGAACTATTAACAAAAACTTTTGGCAGAAAATGTAAGGTTTAGTAATACTTCAATACTCCACAAGACAGATATAAGAGTACTTCTTATAACCCCATATAAATCATGAATATATTCCCCAAACTAAACTCCAAAAGAGGTTATATCCTAAGTTTACAAAGTAGATACTTTATAATTGTGATTTTAAGGCTCTTTTTGAAGAATACCTTTCAGTCTTTCTCTCCAAAACTGCAAATACGCCTATGCATCTAAAACTCTGAACACTGCTTAAGGTATTCCATAAAGTCTATCAATAGCTCCTCTCAATTCATAAGAAATTCACCAACCCCAAATAACCACTCCTTATTTAGGAGGTTATGTTTTTATAGTTTTAAACAGATTTTTCTCCTAGTTTATAAATAGCAGTGTTCCTTGAGGAATTTACATTTATCAGCTTAAAAATTTTATTTACTTACAACTTTATATTAAAATAACACTTCTTCCAAATCTCTTAGAAAAAACTGGTGTCTTTTGTCCACTATTATTAAAAGTGCTCACAAGATGTGTGGCCCTGAACTAGGGGTGGCAAAGAAGAGAATTCCAAGATACTGTCAAGGCCAGTGACCTTGAGAAGTTTACAATCTCACTGTACAGTTTGTCCTATTAAAAAAATAAATAAACCTCTCCAACAATTTACTGACATTCTGCACACAAATTGGTGTGGCCTTTCAATTGAAACCTTTAAATATATTGGAAAGGAAGACTGTAGAATAAAGAACTGGAAAATAGATTCAGAGAAATTACAAAAGGAAAAAACACGACCAAAGGATCATGCAATGCATACCTAAGAGTATGTGTGATTCACCACATATTACCTAGCTTTAAAAAACCTATGGTTAATTCCATATAATTGTGAAACTGAGAATTAAAAACAAATTTAGACACAATTACTAACTCAACAGAACTGATAACAAAACATGACACAACTTCTACAAAGATTTTACCTAAAAGAATGTTACTGCAAGCTATTCAATTGGCAAAAAGTTTAAGCAGATGAGGTAGAAAAAATTTATGGCAGTTATACTATACACTCCCACTGTCACTCATGGTAGGCATCATTGATTAATCATGCAACCCTTTCCTCCTACTGAGCCTAATTTCTTCCAAAATAGCCTTCCCGTAGAAATCAGGGTGGGCATTATAATTGAACCTGTCTGTTGTCCTTCCCGGATAACTATTTTTCAAATACTGTTCAGTCAACTATGTGAAGAACCCAGAATTTATGTATTTAATGTTCAATGAACTTAAAATAAACTCCATTTATTGAATTGCTCCCCCTCCCCCAAAATAACTCTACAAAAAAATTAAATATCCTGTTAAAGAGAATAAAACATATGGACAATATAACCTTAATTAGGAAAAATAATCTTTCTTAAAAAATGTACATGAGTTCTAGAAAACTGTTTCTCAGCAGTCCTCATTTTTGACCCAATTTGAATGAAAAAAAAAAAAACCCACAATTACTTTTTCTGAGTATCAGAAAAATTAAAACCAAACATATCTTCACCATTTAGGGATTAAAAAATAGAAAGGTAAAAAGAAAAAAATAATAATATATACCTGTAAAACAAATAAGCGAAAGAAGCACTTTGTCCTTGCAGTTTAAAAGAAACACAGGTCACTATGAAAACTCTAAAGAGAACATGACTATGTAAGATTTGTCACTTCCTTCCAAAAAGGATTTAAGGTATTAATAGAACAAAGACTTCAGAAGTGAGATGATAAAAAGGGAAATAAAAACAGATCGCTAGAACTATAGGATCACATCATGATGGGTGATGTTTAGCATCAAGTAATCTAACGGAGAAGTGAAAACCTGGAGTCACCAGGTTTTAAGAAAGCACTGTGGGGTAAGTGAGGAAGAATTATTTCCTAAATCCCGAATAGAGAATATTCTACGAAGAAATTAGGAGGTCCCTGCTTCCTGGCACATACTACAAGATTCCAGTAGTATGTAAACACATGCAAAGAATATAGTAAACACGACAAAAGGAGGCATTTCCCCAACCCAACTCCAACCTCAAGTGGTACTAATACTAAAAATAATTGCTTTGAGAACGAGAATACTTTTTTTAGAAGTTTTCCGGCAGAAGCTCGTAAGTACGCATGACCTCCAATTATACATCCTACACATCGTAGAACTCTCTATGTATAACCATTCAGACCTTTTCCCATTGTTTCCTGGAATTTCAAGGATTCGCTTAAAAATAAGCGCCTGCACTACTTTTACTCAAGTCCAAAAGTATAATAAACATTCCTGCCCAAGACCTTTTTCCTCCCTAAAACGAGTGAAACAGAGCACTCCTTAAAGACTTGAGATATTCCTAAGGTATGGAGAAAAGTCCGTTGGCATCCAACTGTCAATAGGGGCTTTTTATTTGGACAGGCCACTCATCTGGAGGAAAATGATTTAAAATTTGCCAAAGTTGCCAAATTACATTTGGAGACAAAAAACGGACCAATTTTACTTCATAAGACAAATCATTTTCAATAAACGAACATGACAACAGGAAACTAAGTTTAATGATCCGGGCAATTATTGCTGGAAAGAACTTTAGGGACCAAGAGAATCACTCATTTAGCTTATATTTATGGGACATCTTTCTTCTGAGTGACTTTAATCTCATTAACATTACTTAGTAGTAAACAGAGCACTTCATAGAACTAACATGATAAGTAGGAGGCGGAAATCTAAAGGTTTATCCAAGTTTCTTCAGAGGCCAAATTAAGGAAAGCCAGGGTTTTCCCCACCTCTGAGAGGGGGAGAAAGGTCAGGAAGCCCTCCTTTCCCCTTGTTTCCCTAGGAAAACAAGTGTCCCAAATGCGCACAACCTAGACCGAGGTTCCAGTCTCCGGCAGTGTGGAGAAGCTAAAAGCGATGCGCGGAGCCTAGACCGGGTCCTTACCTCCTGGATGCGCTTCCTGGCCCGCTGGAGCACTTCTTCGTAGCCCTTCTGCCGCAACTCGCTCAGGCTTTCGTAATACTCCTCCGGGTCGTCGGTCTCGGTGAACAGCACCTGGGACAGGATCTTCCAGCCGCAGGTGTCCAGGCCGTGGCCCAGGTAAACCTGGAGCTGGTAACACAGCGTGTCGATCTCCTGCTCGGTCATCTCCGGGGCGCCCCCGAAGAGCACCGTCCACATGCCCGACGGCTCCTCCGGAAACACCGGCAGGCACTGCTCCAGCTGCGAGTTCACGGAGCACAGCTGCTGGTGCACGGCGCGCAGATCCTGGAAGGAAAAGAGCCCGGCCCAGCTGCACTCCTCGGCCGGGGACTCCAGTTCAGCGGCCGGCAGCGCTACCGCCGCCGAGTCCGCCTCATCTTCCCTGACCATTTCCAGCACCTCGATCTCCTCGGTAACCGTCCCGCAGGCGCTCACTACCCGCACCGACGACATCGGGGCCTCCTTGGCCGCCGGCGGGGCTGACCCAGTCACATCTCTGCCTCCGGATGCCCTCCGGACCGGACTGGGGTTGGCCCGCACTGGGCTCCGGAGAGGACTTTCCGCCCCTTTGCCGGCCTGACTCCACAGCGGCGGGTCCCCTCGAGGGCTGCACGCGCTCCGCGGAGAGCTGCCCTCCGGCCAGGCTGGGCGCCTGCGGGAACCGGGGCTCCTGCCCAGGGTCGCGGAGGCAGTGGCCTCCGGGCGACCCTTGCCTGCCGGGCTGCCCGGCCCGCGAGTCCCGTCGGATGCGAGCGCGCCTGACTCGGCGCCGCCTCGCGCCCCCGCCTGCTCGCGGGTGCCGCTCCTCTGCCTCTGGGCCGTCCGGTTGTGGCAGGTTATGGCAAACTTGCCCTCAATCTCGTTCCAGGCTACGATGAAGACGAACTTGTGCTTCTCGCGCTCGTCGAATACGTGGGGCCGCACGGCCACCCAGTCCGACTCGACAGTCTCCTCCAGCGCGAACGACATGGTGGCTCCGGCGCCAGGCCGCGGGGAAGGCGCCGCTGGCCCTGCCCGCGCGAGCACTCGCCGGCTGGCTGCGCCGCGCCCCCCACTCACCCTCGCCGGGCGCCTTCAGCCATCTTAGCGCGCCGGCCGGCTCTCCCCGCTCGCTCTCCCGTCTCTCCGTGCCCGGACTCGTCGCGCTCCTTTGTGGCGCGGCTCGCGGGAAAGACAATGCGCGTCCCCGGAGCAGGTAGTTCACATGGTCACGTGCGGCCGGGTCTGTTTACAAGCCCCGGGCCGCCCCCGGAGCGAGGCCGCCGGGCTGAGTCTGCGGCGCTCCGGAGGTGAGGCGCGGGTGGCGCGGGGCCGGGCGGGCGGGCGGGAGGGTGGTCGGGGCCCTGGGCTTGCGAGCCTCCGCCGCTCGCCCTGGCGGATCTCCGCGCCCCTCCTCCTCTTCTTCCCGACAGCCTGGAGCCGGCCTGACGAAGGGACGCGTCTCCGGAGCGCAGAGCCTCAGAATCGCCACAATGTTGCCATTCGGCTGCTGACGTAGCGGCTCCACGAGGGACGTAAACACGGGCACGTGCCGCACGCTGGTGACGCGGCGGCGGCGGCGCGCACACCTCGCTCGCGCGCGTCGGCCCCGCCCCTCCGAGTAAATCTGAAGAATCACGCTATTCATACTGAGCTATGATGAAACACATTCTTAAAATTGCCTCATTGGTCTTATAATCTAGTTTAAATTATTCACATACTCTTTCCTACTACTATCCAATTCATATTGCAGGTATTCTGCATTCACAGTAAAGCACAATGTGAATTTGTTACTTTTATCCATATTTCTAAAATATATGTGAGACCGTTTGAATTAACCTTACATTGTTAGCCATACTTACTTCAGTATTGTCCCGACATCTGAAGATATCCCGAGAGCTTTAGCCCTGTCAGTCAATTGGACATTTTAGACCTATAGATCTGCTCTAACCATGGAAAAGGGGAAGGATGAGCTAAAATGGAAAAGGGCTGGTTTCTGACGCTTTTTACAGTTCTATATATAAACCATATGTTTTCAAAGCTTGTAACTCAATTTATGGTAGTTCTCAAATGCAAATCAGAAATACACCTTTTGAAAGGCAGTAAGAAAGACAGAAAATCCATTTCAAATCTATATCACCAGCTAAACAAACAATAGCACATTATAGAAAATTTTCCTCTTTTCTGCAGAAAAGTTACTGCTAACAGTTTTTGTGATAAAAAATGAGAGAATCATACATTATAGATAAGCATGAATGAACTTCAAAAGAGTATGTTTATGGGAAGTATTTTTATTTACACGTATATTAACATTGCAATATTTATCCACAACATTATGTCTTATCACAGTAGTGCTAGAGAAAATTGGTTTGTGGTCACACAGGTGTTACTGTTTCTCCACAATACTCTAGCTACTATGTTTTTTCAGAAGAGTTGTTTCAATGTTTTTCATTTTGTCTTAGTAATCCTACAAATAAACAGAAACAAACAGAAATCCCCATGGCACATTACTGTGGTACTTTACAATTCTTTATTTAGGTCTGTATATGATTTTAAGATCGCTGAGTGTATAAATACTCTCCGGGAATAAGTAAAGTTACAGAAGCCCGCATTTTGACCTTGGTGGGTAACCCCTGGGGCCTGGGTTGTGATTCTCCCTCTGAGACCTGAGGAAAGTTTCACACTGTATCTTCTACCACTACCACTAACACCTTCAGTCCCACAGGGTGTGTTGGGGTCTTTGTTCTAAGCCTCAGTGCTGCTTGTTCTGCAGTGAGGACTTCTGGAGAGCCAGTCTCTACTCCGAGCCCAGATATAAATTTGGGGGTGGCTCAGACGGTAAAGAATCTGCCTGCAATGCAGGAGACTCAAGTTCAATCCCTGGGTCAGGAAGAGCCCCTGGAGAAGGGCATGGCAACCCACTCCAGTATTCTTGTCTGGAGAATCCCATGGACAGAGGAGCCTGGTAGGTTACAGTCCCCGGGGTCACAACTGAGCGACTAACACTAATACAGTATATCACCTGATACATGAGCTGTAGCAGCTTTCCTAGGTGTGGAATGTGTTGTGTCCAAAGCCCAAGGAAGCTTAACCGTCATTGTGTTTCTTTTATTGTAGTAGTGGCTGCATCGTGCACAAATATGTCTTTTGCTTTAAATGGAATGTCCTGACATACCTAACCTTGGGATGTGCAGAAACTTTACTGACTTGACCAGGGCCTGAATTTTTGTAAAGTTTGTCTCCNAAGCCCAAGGAAGCTTAACCGTCATTGTGTTTCTTTTATTGTAGTAGTGGCTGCATCGTGCACAAATATGTCTTTTGCTTTAAATGGAATGTCCTGACATACCTAACCTTGGGATGTGCAGAAACTTTACTGACTTGACCAGGGCCTGAATTTTTGTAAAGTTTGTCTCCCTTCCTCTGAAATGCATATGTCTTACCAAGGTTGCCAGCATGCCAGCACCCTATCCTGCCAGATCATCATGATGTCATCAATGTAATGTATCTAAATGATATTCTGCACTCTGTCCAGGTAGTCGAGATGTCTATAGATTGTGACAGATGGTGGGAAAGTTAATGTGGCCCTGGAGCAGAGTATTTCTGATCTTTTTTGCCTGGCTGGAATAGGAAAGCACACATTCACCAAATCAATGGCTGCATATTGAGATGTTGTTGTTCAGTCTTGTGTCTGACTCTTTGCTACCCCATGGACTGCAGCACGCCATGCTTCCCTGTCCTTCACCATTTCCCAGAGTTTGCTCAAACTCATATCCATTGAGTCGGTGATGCCATCCAACCATCTCATCCTCTGCTGTCCCCTTCTCCTCCTGCGTTTGGTCTTTCCCAGCATCAGGGTCTTTTCCAGTGAGTCAGCTCTTTGCAACAGGTAGCCAGAGTATAAGAGCTTCAGCCTCAGCATCAGTCCTTCCAATGAATATTTAGGGTTGATTTCCTTTTATATTGACTAGTTTGATCTCCTTGCTGTCCAAGGGGTCTCAAGAGTCTTCTCCAGCACCACAGTTTGAAAGCATATTGAGTACCAGAGACCATATTATCTGCTCTGGCAAAGAGACTACACCTAGCTGGGGAACTGTGATCAGGACTAGTTTGGTTGAGTTAGCAGTAGTCTTCAGAATCCATCTGGTTTCTGTAAGGACCAGACCAGCAAATTAACAGAGATATTCTAGGGACTGCCGTGACTACATCTTTAACAGTGGCACTCATCTCTACTATCCCCCTCCAGGGTTATACTGCTTTTGCTTCACTATCTTGGTGGGGGATGAGCCATTTCAGAAGCTTCCACTTGACCTTCCCTACTATGATAGCTGTCATCAACAAGCTCAGTGTATGGGTTATTCCAACTGCCACATACCTCAATCCCAAGATATATTTGGGGACCAAGGAAATGAGTACCAGGTGAGTTCACAGACCTTGTGGACCTAGACTTTGGTCAAGACTCCATTTATTTCCATTTATTACCTGACCCCTGTAGGCCCTCACCCTGCCCCAGAGCTCATGATGAAGTTTCTGGTAGTTGGGTATCAGCATCAGCCTGTACCCTGTCTTCAAGAGTCCTTGAAAACTTGGTGAGAGACTCAGTACTTCCCTCAACTCCCCGCTTGTCCATTCTGGCTCTGTTTTGACAATGTATTGAATATATTAAGCAGTGTCTATTATCTGCTCAGCTATTTTGGCTCAGCTGGTGAAGAATCTGCCTGCAATGCGGGAGACCTGGGTTCAATTCCTAGGGTGAGGAGATCCCCTGGAGAAGGGAAAGGCTACCCACTCTGGTATTCTGGCCTGGAGAATTCCATGAACTGTATAGTTTGTAGGGTCACAAAGAGTCGGACACAACTGAGTGACTTTCAGTCAATCAATTGGCTGCTCAGCTATTTTGACCCTTGGGATGCTTTGTTTTATTAGCCATCCCATAACTGTGGACCCTGTCACCCTCTGACTTCTGATGGTGAGATGTTGACAGTAGCCGCTGTTGGCTCCAGTGCCTGCTCATCTCTATTGCTGTCAGTGGATCAGATTCTGTGACCACTTCTCCTGCCTTTAACCTTGGCCTGCAGAGGGGAGCCACAGTGAACTTCATGGGGGTGCTGGGGCCCCCCTCACCAGCACATTTCCAACAAACACCCTTAGTGAATGGCATATCCTTGGGACCTACCTGGGAAACATATTTGTTCTGGCCTCACACTGCATATCCATTCCAGCATTCCTACCTCCCTGGGTCTTTTATTCCTTCTTCTTTTTATACCTTGGCAATTCAAGCATTTCAAATTGGGCTCTGTGAGGCCCATTGCTTTTTCCATGTTTCTAGGAGTCACCCTCAAGGCAAGTTTTCAACATACAATAGGGTCTTAGCTTGGATGTTAAATTCTCTTGTCCTGAGAGAGTGACCTTCAAGTCTGTAAATGATGTTAGTTACCACAGCTTCTTATTATTAGCCTTAGTCCCAGCCCGGTCTTATAACAACCCTCCAATTCCATTATCCTTAGATTTATCATTCCTCTAACATTTCAAATGCCTATGTTTTCACATCTCCATAGGTACATTGTTTCAGCTCATGCCCAGTGAAAATTTTAGGAAGAGGACTCTCACCTTTTGGCAGGGCCTCTCAGGGGCAAAATGAAGGAAAGGAAGTTGAGGGGAAGTGAGAAGGTAAACAAAGTTTACATCAGATACAAATCTGCTTCTAAGATTTGACAGTACCTGAGAGTCACACTTCATTAAGATCCTCCAAGAAGCAGATAGCATGATGGAATTAGATGTGTGAGAGGAGTTATAGGGAAACACCTGTAAGGGAAAATGGGGAGGGAGCCAGAGCAAAGGGGAGAGCTTGTGATTGTGAAGGAGCGAGGAAGAAAGGAAGTTTTAATGAAGAGCATCTTGGAGTGCAGTGCAGTCTAGAGTGCTTTCTCTAGGTCAATGGGGATCCTCAAGCCAAAGTTACCTGTCAGAGGAGTTTCATGTGTCACAGCCAACAGACCTGCCATATTCCCCATCTCC